GTCTTCAGTACTCCAGAGACGTCTCTGACAGCAGACTTTCCAAGTGCTGTTCATCTTTTGATTTCCTGACTGCTGGTACCAAGAGTGTTCATTGTGGAACCAAGCAAGCTGAAGTTGTTAATAATCTCAATCTCTTCACCATCTATCATGAAGCTACCAGTTGGCCCAATGGTGAGAATCCTTTCGTGTATGTGTGTGTGTGTGTGTGTCTTGAGAATCTTTATTTTCTTGATGTTGAGCTTCAATCTATATTGAAGACTACAGTCCTTGACCTTCTGTAGCAAACATCTCATGCCCTCCTCAGTTTCAGCAAACAAAGTATTTTCCATCTGCATAACTCAGATTATTGATGAGTCTTCCTCCAATCCTGATGCCTAATAATCATTTGTAGGCTAAATGAATTGTTTTACAATTTTCTATTTCCTAGTAGCTGGAAAAGAATGGTAAATTTCCTCCAGTGTGATTAACTGTCTCTGAAAACCCACTAGAAGATCAGGTATGGGCTGTTTCTAACTCGATGGCACACAACAACAACATTTACTCGTAAGAAACTCTGGTGGTGTGTGTTATGTGCTGGGGAGTTGAACTCCACCACCTGATTTTACTGGAGAAAGATGGACATTGTCATTCCTTTAAGATTTATAATGTCATAAACTGAATACCAGCCTGTACAGGTATGAAACAATTGGATAGCCGTGGATTTAAGTTTGGAACTCTGCTGGCCTAGTGGAAAGTTGCTGCACTGCAGTCTCAAAGGCACATGTTTTAAATCCACCGACTGCCGGCTGCGTCCTGGGAGAAGGATAGGCAGTCTCCTCTCATGTGATTAACGGTCTCTGAAAACCCACTGTAGGGTCAGCTATGAATCAGTTCTGACTCTACTTATATTTCAGAACTGTTGTATTAGGAGAAAGCAAAGCTTTGAGTAGTGGACTGTTATGTGGAAGTTGGTATTCAGGGAAGTGGAAGTCTGCAGTTGTGTGAGGACTGAATGGCAGAAGTGATCAAATTCTGGGGGAAAAAATAAAATAATTCATGCACATAAATCCTTAAAGTACAGGTAAGAAAATAAGGAGGGGAGAAAATGTTCCAAGCTGAAGGAACAGTGTGAAAAGAGACATAAGATTTAGAAAAACATTTAAAAAGTCAGATGTAAAGCTAATTGTGCAGGCTGATATTCAAGTCTGTTGCTGCCAAATGCAAATGAATGCTTAATCCCACTGCAAATTGCCCACCTAATATTATGCATTAACTTCTACTTCCTTAGTAAGTACAACTCCA